GTGGAACACATGCCCTTAGAATTTATTCATTCTACTTTTATACTGCTTTCTCGTAAGATTCAGGGTGGTATACAATACATCATCAGTCCCGCAACCTAAAACTAAATGGCGTGCATAACTCATGGAATATTGCTAAAAGACATCCAATGAAAAATACTTGGAAATAAATGACTTTTGAAAAGTATGCTTTTTACTGTCTTCAGAAATGCAAGAAGTGTAGGACTGTGTGTATCATTTCAGCAAGGTCTTCCATAGGGTTGGGGCAACCAGGGAAAGGGGCTATCTTTGGGTCCCGATCTAACTTCCCATTGGGGTGAGGTACTGAGGACCCATCCTAGAAGGTCACATAGGATGGAGAGAAAAGAATCCTTCTGAATAAGGTAATCCTGGAAGCTTGGTGGAATTGGATTGCCCCCTTATCATTTCAGTGTTTAAAAAATGTTTATAAACACATGTCTCTTTCCCCATCATTTGCTCCCTGTTTTATTGTTTTAGTCTGCTTTGTTTCTAAACTTTGCTAGACATCCTTGAGATCTTGCCAAAGTAAAATGGCGGTAAATCAAAGCAATGCATTTCTTTGTTCTGTTTTATCAAATTAAGAGAGGGAGGGAGGGAGGGAGAGAGAGAGAGAGAGAGAGAGAGAGAGAGAGAGAGAGAGAGAGAGAGAGAGGACTCCATTGAATCTTCATTGCCTGGATAAAAAAAATTTTTAGAGAGGCCTCTAACAGTAAGGTGACCAACTTTTTTACAATGAAAAGGAGGACACAAATAAATTGAAGAAAAAATATCGTAAATAAAAGAAACATTTTATTCATTGCAACAATAATACAGAATACACTATAATATGATAAATGCATAATAAAAAACATTTGTAACAATAACATTTTATATTGTAATTATGCTTACATGCCGCGCCCTCGCCCACAGCCGCCCCGCCAGCACTGCTGCTCTACCATGTAGAGCGGGCCCTGCGGCTCCCAAAGCACCAGCTGCACCGGCTCCGGCCTCAGGGGACAGCCCGCCATCGACACACCCGCCTGCAGCCACCCCGCTAGCACCACCGCCCACCCTGCACAGCCCCGTGTAGAGCAGGCCCCATGGCTCCCACAGCACAGGGGCAGCTAGCCACTACCGCCCCTCATACCCCTGCCCGCAGCAGCCCCTGCCTCTTGCGCCCGCAACCATTATTGCCCTAGCAGGGCTGAAGATCAAGAGAAAGTTACCGTGGTGCCGCTGCTCCAGTTTCCTCCAGGTATCTTCGGGACTAACTAGGAGATGGTGTAGTTGGGTAGCAGGGAGGGGTGCAAAGTTCCTGCCAATTCGTTTTCGCTGCAGACAACTTACATGTGCAAAGTTTGCCGGCTGGGTGTTTTGGTGCACTTAGCAGCAATTCCTATTGGCTTTCAAAAGCCAATAGGGGGAATAGCTCAGCTCATGCAAAAGTTGAAAAAAAAACATCAAAAAAAGATGTTGGAACACCATTCTGAACGTTCTATAAGAAAAAAAAAGTCCTGCAGATTAGTCTTCAAATATCGAAAAGGAGGAAATGTAGGAGGACACTTTTCGAGGAAGGACAGAACTCACAAAAGGAGGACTGTCCTCTCTAAAGGATGATGGTTGGTCACCTTATTACTAACAGCAATATAGGTATTTAAATTAAGATTGAATTAACTGGGGAGGGGAGGCGAGAGTTATGATCTTTCAAATAGCAGGCACTTCTAGCATACACATTTCAGTGGAACAGTAGGGATAAAGTGGAACAATTCAAATGCTGTATTTTCTATGTAGTGTTGTCCGCACCATTGCGGTCTTCTTGAATGCAACATACAAGTGAAGGTCCACAAGGATTTGAGGAAATTCCTCCTTTATTCTATGTATATAAAGTGCCGATATTTATTAAAAGGATGACAGGATTTAAGACAGGCCTGATAGCTTGGAATTCCCAGGTCCACTTCTGTATCACCCATGTGCAACATACATAGATCATACCTCTGTCAGGTATGATCTATGGATGGTTGCTTTTGTTTCATAGGCAGATCATCTGGTCAAAAGTAGGCCACTTTATCTTTAGTTCATCAGTGAAATCCTGTATATAATAGTATAGTGTAATAATTAATCACTCCTCAATTTATTTTTAAAACATCATAAACCCGTTAATGTTTGCTATGCTCTTACTTCAGTAAATATGTCAGCAACCTGTTGAGACGGTTGAAATAAAAAGAAGCTGTATGCGAGCTGATTTCTACAGAAGATTAGTGGTATGAAACCATTTAGATTGGCCAGGTTAATCCCATAATGGCACATCATGAAGAATTTCTGTTTGCCTGTATAATCCACAAGCGGAATCAAGCACTGAAAACCGGCATTTCTAAAATGTTCATGAGGACTATGATTAAGCAATTTATTGATAGAAGCTCTTTAATTCTGCAGCTCCATCAAAGAGAATAACAAAAGTCAGTCTGCAAATAATGCTATGCTTTAAATGGATGGGGTTTTTTAGTGAAAAGAGTTATTTTCTTCAAATGCTCTTCAAAAGACACTTCCCAATCTTATTTTAGGAAAGAAAAAGAAAGACTGTGTATATGTATACCATGCTGGAAGGTAAATAACTACTATTTAAAATGACAGTCGTTCTAGGTTCTAAGGGAATTTCACATGAGAGGATTTAGGGGTATCTGATTATTTGAATCTCTATGGTCTCGCACAATCTACATCTGCCTTCATTTACGCCTTCCAGTTATTTTTAGGACTAAAACTACAACTCTCAGTATCTCATTGGTCAAGCTGCTTGGTAAGTTGAGAATTTAAGTTCCCTTTAAGGGTATCTGTTTGGGGAAGGTCATTCTAAAATTTAGGAATTACTGAAATAGTTAAACTAATCTGCACAGAGGTGCTGTGATCTTTGAATTTCTAGAAGTATCTATTTTACTTGGAATGTGAGACATGAATACCATGTAAGAACGTAACAGTTTATTTATCATATAAGAGAAAACAAAATAGAAAATAGAATCCTAGCTGGCATTCTTTCTTCCACAGCTGTTTAATTCCAACCGCAGTACCGCCCTCTTTCAAAAAAGAGTTCATGACCGGCTCCAAACATATATTATAGTTATAATATGTTGACATCTCAAAAGAACTGGCAGACATAATCATGCATAAAGCAGAAAGATGCATGCTAATAAAATCCTAGTGAGACCACACCTGAAGTACTGTAACCAGTTTTGGTCACCATATCACAAAAAAAGATGTTGAGACCTTGGAAAAAGTTCAGAGAAGAGCAACCAAGATGATCCGAGCCTGGAGATTAAAACATAAGAAGAACGGCTGCAGGACTTGGGTTTGGCTAGTCTAAAGAAAAGAAGAAACAGGGGTGACATGAGAGCGTCATTCCAGTATTTGAGGGGCTGCCACAAAGAAGAGGGGGGTCAAATTATTCTCCAAAGCACCAGAGGGCAGGACAAGAAACAATGGTCGGAAACTGAGCAAAGAGAGAAGCAACCTGAAATTAAGGAGAAACTTCCTAACAATGAGGACAATTAACCAGTGGAACAGCTTACCCTCAGAAATTGTGGGTGCTCCATCACTGGAGGTTTTTAAGCAGAGACTGGACAGTCACTTGTCTGAGATGGTATAGGTTCTCCTGCTTGAGCAGGGGGCTGGACTAGAAGACTTCCAAGGTCTATTCCAGCTCTATTCTATTCATTCTAATTAACATTATTTATATCCGTATAACTTTTAAAATTATTTAGACACAATATTAATGAATAAAATGCATTTAGTTACAATTTGAAGATAAAATCTAGACCAAAATATGTAAGATAGACTTGAGATCTTTTATTTCTTCATTTCTTTACTTATCTCTTAAACAAATTTCGTTACTACCCATCTGTCAGAGTGAACTCTTGTTGGCAAACAAAATAAAAACACAATACAATAAATACGCTACTTAAAATAATAAACAGTAAACAATATTGAGGTCCCAATAAAACCTATGTTCATCCACCAATCAAATGAATCCACCAGAATCTATATCAACAATCTATATGCAAATTTATAGAATCATAGGGCTGGGAGGGACCTTGGAGGTCTTCTAGTCCTAACCCATGTCCAAGGCAGGAGTCTACTAACAGGTCTCCCCCATGTCTTCTTTTCATTAGGCTAAGCATAACTAGTTCTCTTAGTTGTTCAGCATATAATTTAGCCTCGAGTTATTCAAGCAGACTTAATTAATAAAGCATCAACACTGTGAAGACATCAGCATCTCTCTTCATCCCATCATGGCATCCCTATAGGTTATGCTTGCATGTCACCCAGTCATAATCTAGCCTGCAAAAATCAGACGAACCACTAGATGGTGGCAAAGAGACGCTGAAAACACTCTTGGCCACCATCTTGTGATTTCATTGGGTCATATACAGTAGCCTTAATATAATCTGATTTGTTTGACTTTCGTGTGTTGTACACAGCCCATCAGTTGTAACTTACTCTGCTAACTTAGATGCTATCTTTTCCAAATCCTATCTTCTGGCATGCTTAACTGGTCCCTGATATCTTAAAGAAATATCATGTTTTCAAAAACAAAGTGGAAGGTAAGTGAAGGATAGAGCAAAAATGAAGAGGTGGAGAGACGTTTTGTTCAAAGCAGGCATGGGATCTAGGTAGAGACCAGTCAGCTGATTAACATTCCAGACCATTTTTCCCAGTCTATAAGATATCCAGCTGACTTTATTTTACACTCAGATCTGTTTCTTCTTCCTTGCCCTGGTTTTTAATAATTTCTCTCCCCCTTCCCTCTTCTATCTCTATATTTTTCTCCTACCTATCTTTTTATAATCTTTTCCCCCAATTGTCTTCTTTTCTTTTTGGTCTCTTAACCTCCTTTTTTTTTGGAAAATATGAACTTCCTTTACACTGTTCAGCAAAAAGTTTCTATATCGTTGTCTGACTTTGACCATTAAATATATGCTTGTTCCTTGTTTTTCTCTTGCTTTTTACTTCAGTATCCTACACAGGACTGGGTAAGTACAGTTGGTTCCATTGAAAAGTACTCTGATCCAAAGATTGTAATACATAGATTAGCAAAAAGTAAACTTAAATACTTGCATAAAACTAGTCTATTTTGTTGGATTATTGGGGCCAAAGAGTGACATGGTATTTCCAAAATCTCCTTGCACTGTGATAAGCAAGTACATATGAACAAGCCTGGCTAAAAATGATGTGGAAATGAGGTCCAGTTTATTTAAATGACATTAGTTGAGTCAGGAAGTCATAGGAATTAAGAGGCAAACAGTTTTTATAAAGTATAATTATGAAGGTAGTGGACAGGACCTGAAAGAGCCTACTCTTAACCCTGAAAAGCCACTAAGTAACTCCTCAGATCAATCAGCTGTTGAGGCAAATGGAAGGAAAGAACATTATGTATACTGGTTTGAGAACATAATATACATTGGCTTTGTTTGTTTTCAGGAAAGATGGGATAAAACTTGGGCTACAATTCCTGAGGCCCCTGGCAGAAGCAGATTATCTAGATGTGTTTCAGTCAAAGTTCAGGCTGGGATTAAATATGAGATAGTGTTAGTAGTTCTGGGTGCCATCCATTAAAGTGTCATCTTACAGGACCTAGGTCATGGTTCCTGTCTGTGGAATGATTTGAAATGTTTCTACCCTTTGACTTTTGGTAAACTTCCTAAGATCTCATTGTTCTTCTAGGTTCTGAACTAGGATAGGCAATGGCTGCTTGGCTTTAAGGCAGGGGTCTTCAAAGTTGGCCCTTTTATGACTTGTGGACTTCAACTCCCAGAATTCCTCAGCCAGGGCTGGCTGAGGAATTCTGGGAGTTGAAGTCCACAAGTCATAAAAGCCAAGTTTGAAGACCCCTGCTTTAGGGGTTTGTTTTCTAATCAGCTGTCTTTTTCTCCTCAATATTTTTTTTAATCCGTAAGACCCCCTGATTTGCTATGCAATTGGGTAAGCTCAAAACTAAAACAAACAAACAAATAAAATTATAAAAATACTGGATTTCTATTTTACAGTGAACTCTATTAGAATTCTAAGGCCCAGTTTCTCTCAGCATGAAGAGAATAACTGCAATTGCACTGGTCTTTGGTAAGTGCTCAAATGCATCCTATTTTTTTTAATCTCTGCTTTATTTATTACCCCACAGTTTTAGATAAGATTAAATCAATGTGCTCAGTACGTGCAGATAAATAAAAAAATCTTTGAAAATTTGTAATTAAAGTAGTAAGACCAGAAAATGTGAAAATCAAACATAAAAAAACTGAGACAATGATAACATTAATAGAAAATCTTATTATTTCACTTAGATATTTTTTAATTTCATGGGAGAGAGTATTGTTGTACATTTTCTTTACGCTTGTCTATTGTATCATAGTTTTGCTGCTGACTTGTATATATGCTACTAAAGAAACTACAAAGAGGAACAGGAAATCTAAACAATGTAAGTAGACAAAACTTGATGTAAATGGTTGATTCCTATAATTTCAATTTAAACTCTCCTTCATATATTTTGAGAAAGTTATTGGAAAACTGGCTCCAAGAATTCTGTACAAATGATGTAGCCTCCAATATCTTCCCTTAAAAATAATCATAATTCTCGGCTAAACTATTCCCACTTAAAATGTTTCGCACCCCAGACGGTTGCATGCTACATTTGTTTCTAATGCATCATTTATTCTGAAATTCTTTTGGTGTGCCAGATGCTTCTTGTTGTTCCCTTCAGAATAAACAATATTATTTCAGGTTCAGGAAAGATGTAATAATTGTGAGCAAACCAAAGACACACAGCAAGATGGGGCTGGCCAAATCTAACCAAATTTAATTTACAACAGCACTATTCTCTGCAGGTAATCCTCAGGCTATGATTATAATTGGGACCAGAGTCCTGGTCACTAAGCAATTCATTTGTTAAGCTAGTCATCATGTGACTGAACCCAATTTTACAACCACTTTTATTGCAGTTGTTAAGCAACTGAATCACAGTGGTTGTTAAACAAATCCGACTTCCCCAATTGCTTGCTGGAAAATTTATTGGAACCACAAAGGCTTACAACCCACTTTACTATTTCTTTATTTTACTTATCCTTGGTAGAATAAAGCCATCACTGATACAGTGAATATTCAAGGGTCCATCTATTAACAATTATGGCATATAGAAAATTTCAGTTTGTATGTGAGAGTTGTACATGACAAAGAGCATAAATTAATGAATAAAATGAAAGAAGAAAGAAAAACAGGTGCTAAGAGAAGGAAGATGGAAGAAATGAAAGTGGCCTGTTCTTGTGCAATGAAGTTGATAAATATATGCAAAAACTGATGGTTTAATTAAGAAGCAATGCTAGGCTGGAAATAAAGCCAAATGTAGGAAATGGAATGTTATTTCTGCCAACTCCTAAACTATCAACACATCTGAAAGAGGAGAGGGTAAAAATCACCTAAACTTTTCTTATCTTTATAAATATCAACATTAAAAAGACCATAAATTACATAGGCTAATTTATATGTCAAATGTCTCTAAATAGTTTACAGGCAGTTACTCAACATTCCTATTTGGAATGATGGAGATAGAACTTACCATCTTGGGCATATAATGATGCAGTCGTAATGCAATGATAAAACATATGCTCTGCATATAAAAAATCAGAGGGCTCCTTGGTGCTATCTGAGCTTGCTTGTTTTCTTGCAAACATTTCATTACCCTAACTAGGTAGGATCATCAGGGCTAATAAGGAGTGCTGTTTGCTGTCAGTTTATATTCTGGTGTCTTGCCTGTCTGTGTGGGTGAAGGCAGACTTAGGAATTCTTTGGTTGGGCTGTTTACTAATGACTCTTGTTCAAATATTATTCTTTTGATGTGAAATCAGCAATATGAATGTGACTATTACCTTATTCCACTGAATATTAAACAATTTGGCACTGGGATGCAAAAGAGAAAACTCGTAGGAGACACCCTGCGATTGAGAGTTTTATTAATTTTCATTTTTAAGGATTAAGGAGTCAATGCTGAATATTTGAGTATTAAAAATCGGCATAAAAGCTCACAAATAATAGAGCCAACTCCTAGCATTTCTTTGTTTTCTGCAAAGCTTTTGTGGCAGATTATACTAAGCATAACATTCAGCTTCTATCTTCACAGCTGTTCCACAGATTGAGTGTGCCATCAAAGCTGCAAAGATCATCAACCCAGAATTTATTGCTAAGTGTCCCTTGGGATGTCAGGATGTTAAATATCGGGTCTATGGCACTGATATTTATGCCTCTTTTTCCAGTGTTTGTGCTGCTGCTATTCACAGGTTGGCAGAACTGATCTTTAATTGAAAATAGCATACAAAATCAAAAAGAAAGATAACATGATCAATACTACCGGTAGCAATAAAGGTAAAAATCAGAACAGGTTGTTATTTTTTCCTCATCAAAAATTTTGTATAACTCTTAAAAGATAAAAAAAATAAGATTAAGAAGTAAAAAGTAGTTTATATAGTCAAATCTATGTAAACAATGATTATGAGTAGAGTTCAGGTTAGTGTATCTTAATGTATATTTAGAGGATGGAAAAGTAGATCTTCTTTAATTCCACTTAATGAGCAAAAGGGAATCTTTGGCAAAATGTTTTAAAGGGTATGGATTTATGAGGAAAATAAACAACTGTAGATTTGAGAAAATTGTGGAGATAAAAATAGATTGATGATATTTGCATTAATTTATACTGGGAAATGGTATTAGATCCTTCCCTCTGGTACATGATTAACCATGAAATGCCAAGGTAGAACCATTTTTTTACACATTAGGCTTACCTTATCTAAATGTCTACTAATACTTAGAACAGAGAATTTTATTTTGATATATTCTGACAATAGAATTATTCTTAGCCTTAGAATTATCAAGTACTTTGTCAAATGGATTCAGGATTGCATAGAGGAGTTAATATTTTAATACTCAAGATTTTCTGAGATTTAAGGTACCAGCACTATTTTTTTCCCCAAGGTGTTGACCATTTCAACCTTTATTTTTAAAAATAATTAATATTGGAATCATGTGGAGGCTGTCTGAAAAATCATATATGCTATGGCATGTAGAACACCATGATGCCACTCGCTGATTTCAGTGAAGACCTATAGAAGCTTTTGAAGATGACATAATGTTCCCCATAAAGGAAAGGGCTAGAATCAGCTGTTCCAAATGGACTGAATTTATATGTATTGAGCTTGCAATTCAGTGATCACACAGAGCTCTGGTAAGCTAACCATGTACTTATGACATTAATATGTTACTTTTACAGTGGAATTATTGACAACTCTGGAGGAAAAGTCTTAGTTCAAAAAGTTGCTGGTCAATCTGGGTACAAGGGTAGTTTTTCCAATGGAATCCGCTCACTTTCATTACCACGATGGAGGGAATCCTTCATACTTTCAGGTGAATTTCCTCCTTCCTTTCCTCTTCCCCTTTGCAGGGAGTTGGACTAGAAGATCTCCAAGATCCCTTCCAACTCTGTTATTCTGTAGTCATATGTCAAGCCATCTCTGATTATTATTATTATTAACAATAATATTGCTATTATTATTATATAATTTAATTCCTTCTGCAATATCTGTTATTGAGTTACTAAACATGACTAAAAAGAGTGCAGAATTTTAATCAGAAGACATATTGGCAATATGTTCCTCAAAAATAAACAGTTATAGAGATAGGACACCCTGCTAGATAATTAACAAAAGTTAATAAGAGGGGTAAAAATTGGTCCCTAAGCTCAGAAGTAGAAGTAGAACTCAATTGATGAGCACACCACTAGCACATATGCAAATTCACTGATACAATTTTTCACACTATTGAAATAGTCTGAATAAAATGCAAATGAATAAATCCATTCAGATCAATAAGCACCCTCTGCTTAGGGTTTACATAATTAGCATTTTTTAGTCTCCCTTATGACATTTTAGAAAAATTAGGGCCAAGAGATCCATCTATTTCATTTCCCAGACAGCATTTAAACTCTTTTCAATACAGCTCTAACCACTACTCTAACCACTACTACCAACAAAATTGGGTATTGTTTTAAGGATTGCAGTATATCTGTATTCATATCCTTAATCAAATGCCAAAAGTTTTGCATTTAAACTGCTCAGAAGTTGCTGGAAGAGCTGAAATCTGTGACTAAGGAGGGGGAGTGCAAAGGACAAAAGTAGTGGTCCACATAACTAAAAATCAAAAACAACAGCAGTATATACAGGCCAAGTGCGTCTGAGATTGTGATTTCCTTTCATTTCAGAATGACTGGCTTAGTTCAGTGCAACACTTATTTTGCAGCTGTCTTTTGCTGTACTCTTTTCAAACTTGGAAACTGTTCTATCTGTAAACAAATCACTAGTCTACAAGGAGAGATTACTTATCTAGGGTCAGTAATCTGTGCTCTTCAGCAGTGCTTTTTTTCTTTTAAAAAAAAAAGATGCTGGAACTCACACACATCATACAACCCGCCTTGCCTACCCTATAAGGTTCCATCCAAAAAAGGTGCTGGAACTCCATTCTGGGTGTTCTATGAGAAAAAAAGCCCTGCTCTTCAGGCAGAAATTAGGTGTCCAGCTCTATTAAGCTGCTGCAATATCAGCCCCCTCTACCACAAAGATCCAGCAGGAGAAGAGCAGTATGGACAACCATGGGATCTGGCAGGGTGAGAGCTGTGAACCATAAACACTAAGTTTTTGGTGTATCCCTGCATAACAGATACAGTGTCCTACATAAGAAATAACTACATCTCTATAGAATTAGATCACAACAATGATGAAAACTGCCTTGAATGCATTTGGGTAAATATAAAAGGGGAGAAAATGACATTGCCATAGGTGTATACTATAGGCCACCCAACCAAACAGAGGAAATAGATGAACTTTTTGCTAGTCAGTTAACTAAGGTATGTACTGTAGGAAGCACATCATAATAGTAATGGGGAGACTTTAATTACCCTGATATCAACTGGGAGACAAACTCTGCACCAAGTGGAAGATCAAACAGGTCCCTAGCAGACAACTTTGTCTCCCAAAAAGTAGAGAAGGGAACTAGGGGATTAGCCATATTGGACCTAATTCTCACTAACAGGGATGAAATGATAGAAGATGTTGAAGCCATAGGAACCTTGGGTGGGGGAAGTGATCATGCAATATTGGAATTCAAAATTATGCAAGCACAGACAATAGAACACAGACAAACTAGAGTCTTCGACTTCAAGAGAGCTAATTTCAATAAACTTAGAGAGAGCTTAAATGAACTTAAATGGATTCCAGAAGATGGTGGAGGACAGGAAGACCTGGAGGAACGTTGTCCATGGGGTCGCGATGGGTCGGACACAACTTCACAATTAACAACAACAACAAAGAGACAGCTTGGTAAGGATTCCATGGATGAGAATCCTCAAGGGGAAAACAACTCAAGAAGCTTGGGAAATTTTGAAAAGTGAGATAATAAAAGTTCAGTCTAGCACAATACCAATGAAGAAAAAAAATAACAGCTTTCAAAAGAAACCAGCATGGCTGCATAAATAAGTCTCTGATAAATTGAAAGACAAAAAGGACAAGTATAACATACTGTAACTAAGGCAGAATATAGCAAATAGCCCAAGCCTGCAAAGATGAAGTGAGGAAAGCTAAGGCTCAAAATGAACTAAGGCTAGCGACAAAAGTCAAAAATAACAAAAAAAGCTTCTTTCAACATGTAAAAAACAAGAAACAAATCAAGGAAATGATTGGCCCATTAGTGGGAGAAAGTGGCAAGAAGATGACAAGCAACAGGGAGAAAGTAGAACTATTTAACTCGTTTTTTACACAAAGGGAAAAAACAGCCCAACCTATCAAAAACGTTACCGTAAAAAACAGATTAGAAACACAAGTTAAGATAGGCAAGAAAATGGTAAGTGAGCACCTGTCCAGCCTAGACAAGTTCAAATCACCAGGACCAGATGGATTACACCCCAAGGTTCGCAAGGAACTGGCATCTTTCAAAGATCCTGGAGCACTGGGGGAGGACTGGAAAAGAGCTGATGTAGTTCCCATCTTCAAAAAAGGGGAAAAAAATGGATCCAGGAAATTACAGACCTATCAGCCTGACCTCAATACCTGGGAAGATCCTAGAAAAGATAATCAAACAATGAATCAGCAAACATCTAGAGGCATTTTCAGTTCAGCCCCAATCTTATCAGATAGAACTTGTTCTTTTTCCATAACAGTCTATTTACAGAGGCAGACACTATTATAATCAATTTCTGAATATATTATTCAAAAAATCCTTCAATATTTCCACTGCTAGAATATTTTGTTTCATAATTGTAAATCTATTTTAAGTATTCTTCTTTAATTGAAATATTTAGTTCCTTCTAGTTCCACTGGTGTCCAATTTTTACAATCTTATCTTATGTTTTTCTAAAAGAAATCAAAACAAAAGCATTTTCCCACAGAAAAAAAAATCAAATTAATTTCAAAATCTTATCTCAAATTTATCTAGACCCTTAGTTTGTTTCTAACTTTCTAAAATCAAAGTTTTACTTGGTGATTTTCCTTTTATTTGGGGGAACAAATAAATTTCCAAATTTGTAGCAGAAATGTCTCCCACTAAGGATTGAAGGAAAACTCAGTTAGTGTAAAAACCTTTTGATTTGACAGTTTCTAATGGCTGCAAAGCATTTAACAAACAATTCATAAAAATGATTAGAAAAGGAAGTGTGTAAACTTAATATCCTTTCAAAGATGACAACCATGGTTTGAGGAAGATGGTTATTCCATCATTTTCCAAAGCTTTAAACCTGCTGGTGAAGATCTGGTATAGCTCTCTGCTGCTCTTGTATCACCAGCTCTTTTTCATTGAGGACTATAGCCATTTAACCATAAGTTAGCTCTGGATTTGAGTTTGAATGATGTGCTAGATCAGTGGTTCTCAACCTTTCTAATGCCGCGACCCCATAATACAGTTCCACATGTTGTGGTGACCCCCAACCACTTATACATCACCGGGTGCCAGGGGCATGGCCAAAGAAAAGGGGGGGAAAATGGTGGACAGCATTGTTTGGCGACCCCCATGAAATGGTTGTTCGACCCCAAATGGGGTCCCGACCCACAGGTTGAGAACCACTGTGCTAGATCCTGGTGAAGATAAGATAGCTTACAATAAGCCATGATGAGAAACCATAGCATTGGCATAGCATATCATCCACATCAGATCTGTGGCTGGGGCTTTCTTAAAGCATATGAATTGGGAACTAAATTAAGATTGTGTATGAGCTCAGTATTCAAGACAAAACATTTCCAAATATTAAGCCTAACCTTGGAGATGAGGAGTGCCTTCCAGATGAGTTTAGAAAATTGAAACAAGCATGTAACTATTTTTAGTTTCCATATTTTAAAACAAAAAAACCCTAGCATAGCAGGCACATTTACTTTTCTTAGCAATTCCGTCAGTAAGTTGTCTCCAGCAAATTGAGTTTTATTTTTGACTCTCTCGTGATAATAACAGATGGCTAAAAGAATATAAAAACATTACGTAGCCACCATTTTGAAAAATAAGAGAAGATCAATAAAACAGCCACACATATATGTGTATGTATATGTGTATGTAGAAACAGCCATACGTGTATGTGTGTGTATGTATCTGTATATGTATGTGTGTGTATATATATGTATGTGTGTATATGTACACAAATATTTAATTGCAGGATCAGAAGACATATAGAGAGCTAGTCCATAGAATATATCCCTCCCTGATACAGCTGACAAAGTGAGAAGGAGCCTGTGGCCTAGAGGTAAATACAGCTGTCTAACATGCACACAGCCCAGGCTCGAATCTCAGAAGGGTAAGTGTGGCTGAAGAGAGTTAAGAAACTCTAAATAGTTATCCCATTCTCCCTTAATTCTTTGTTAGCAATCCAAATTTTATTATATATATATATATATATATATATATATATATATATATATATATATATATATATATATATATATATTTGTTTTCTGAGGTTTTCTCGGGTATTTGTATATAGGTCTTTGGTTGTTCGGGTTTTCTCCCGCGTAAAATTGGAAGTGTCTTGGCAACGTTTCGACGAAGTCACATTCGTCATCTTCAGGCTGGTGTTTTTAGCTTCTTGCTTTGAGCAGCAAAGGAAGAAAAAGGAAGAAACAGCTAAAACCACACATTGCTGCTCAAAGCAAGAAGCTAAAAACACCAGCCTGAAGATGACGAATGTGACTTCGTCGAAACGTTGCCAAGACACTTCCAATTTTACGCGGGAGAAAACCCGAACAACCAAAGACCTATATATATATATATATATATATATATATATATATATATATATATATATATATATATATATGTGTGTGTGTGTGTGTGTGTGTGTGTGTGTGTGTGTGTGTGTGTGTGTGTTAGAGATATAAAAATCCTCGAACTCTGGGATAAATAAAATCAGCTGTTTATTGTTAAAAGCAACAAAAAGCAATAAAAACAACCGTACATAAAAACAAATATCTACTGCCTTAGCTTTCGCCGGTCCTCTGCCAGCGTCATCAGAATAAGCGCTGGAAGCTGGAGAGTCTGCTTATAAGCTTAATCGACTCTGCGCTCTGCTCATCAAGCATGTGGTAGGCCTGTCTGCTCTAGTCAACCATAACAATAAACGGCTGATTTTATTTATCCCAGAGTTTGAGGATTTTTATATCTCTAACGTAAATATGCCTAGGATTTGCATTTTTAAAATTATTATACACACACATACACAAACACGTGTGTGTGTGGTTTTGTGTGTGTGTGTGCGCGTGTGTGTGTGAGAGAGATTCTTGGCAATTCTATGGGCCAGGTCTCTACATATCTTCTGATACTGCAATTAAATGTGTGTATATATACAGAAATGTATACATATATTTGTATGTTTGTACTTATACATATATACAAACAACATTTAATATACATATACAGACAATGTTTAATTATTTATTAATATCTACAGCTACATATTATATATATGATCAAAATGAACTCTTTCTGGTTCCAGATTAGAGAGTTTTAATGAAAATAATTGCAAAGAAACAACATGATTTTCTTGTGATCTTGAAACAGCTGAAAAAGTAGGATGTTAAAGCCTTTACCTTTAGTCATTAAGCTCCATAGAGCTACATTTAGTAAGGGAGAACCAGAAAACTAAATAAAAAATGCACAAGAAAAGACACATTAACATTCCTAAAATGGTTTCCCCTTTCAATTATTTAAGTTATTTATATAAAGTTATTAATATGTGGAAGTATGGGAGAGTATTGGCCCAGGGGACTGTGTGCTTTTTTAATAGAGTTTTTTATTCTGGTTGGGAGAGGGGTTAAACTTATGTGTAAAACCCAGGTTTCTGGTTACAGTATGGACTGCTTTATAAAACTTTTGAAATAAAAAATAAATAGCTCAATAACAAATATCACAGTATATGATGAACTGAGAATTTGCATTTTGTAATTAAAAAAAAGAGAGACTGAACGGCAATTTCAGAGACTAAAAGCTTCCAGATCCAAATAGCCTAACAACAACAACATTCTTCTATAATTAGAGATGACTTGGGTGGATATCAGATATCACACAGTTCTAGAATGCAGTTGGTATGTTTTTGGTTTAGGGCAGGGGTAGGCAACCTTGGCTCTTTTATGACTCATGACTTCAACTCCCAGAATTCCTCCCAGCCATGCTGGGAGTTGAAGTCCACAAGTCATAAAAGAGCCAAGGTTGCCTACCCCTGATTTAGGGTAATAAATAAACCCAGTCATATAAAGCTTGTTTGTTTGTTTGTTTGTTTATTAAAATGTTATGCCACTCATCTCCCCTTTAAGATAATTCTGAGTGGCTTACGTTATAAAACAAGTAAAAAATAGTTGTTAAAAGATTAATTTTTATTAAGAATAAATATTCTTAATTTTATTAAGAATTATATTAAAACCGAACTAAGAGAGCTAAACACTAGATGGGACTGGGATAATCCACCTCTAGCAGTGAGTGCCCCCCTTTGAGGCCCCAAGTTTTGATACCCTCCAGAAGGTCAAAAGGGAGGGGGCAGTTCTCATCTCCAGCGACAGAATGTTCCACCGGGATGGGGCCACAGCAGAAAAGGCTCTTCTTGACTTTGCTTGCTTCAATTCCTTAGGGTCATGATCTCATGAATCATGGTGTCTATGAGAAAAGCAAGATGGAATAATTGCCCCCTTAGGTAAATGGTGTCGGTGGTGTAATTTGTGTCAACCAGACTGTAAATTCATAACTGATATCATGTGTGTGATGACATAATCCTATGTGACATCACTGAATATGAGTGCCTAGTTCTTGATATACCTGATGCAGCCCTCAACTCCTTACCTGTTGGCTTAAAATTGTAGGTGCTTTTATATATATTCACTTATTGGAGATTTCGGTTTTGTTTTCTTTAGAAGGCAAACCCAAAAGAGGCGTACAGTATCCATCCATTCTGACCTATTCATCTTCTGAAAGCACAGTTACTAAAGGCAAGTGATGGATTTTCTGCTTGAGGGGGCATTATTGTTTTACCACATATGTATCTATTTTGTGGTTACTTGGATTAAGAACTTGAGCAAGAACAGTTTGTAACCATATGCTAATTTATATAAGTCTAGTATTATATGTGTTTCTTTAATGCCCTTTGCTTTATTGATCATTTAATGTGGCTTAAGAAGAGATTTTTTTAATTACTATGCCAATCTGTGCCTGGTAATGATTAATTGAGTAGAGTTCATGTCCTGAGAAATAAAATTCAAGGATTTGTGTTGCTCTGCCTCTTCCCATATCTTCTAGCTGCAAATGTAGGGTTAGCCTCTTACTCATCATCAAAGCCTTGATCCAACTCATGTAGCAAAGATACAAGATCTCTTTTCTAGGAATGTGTTTTTAATAATATTGTGGCTTCAAGGACACCCCATGTTAATTTTTTGGGTTATTTTTTTTCCTTATCAAATACGAAGCAAGTCATTTTGTATTTGGAATCTTCTGCTAACATATCTGTATGCGCCAAGTGTTTGTGATCAACATTTTGTATGTGTCATTTTGTGGTTCTTGGTTCTTTGCTTGTTGGAATGCTAGAGACCAGGGATTTATTATATCTTTCTAGCTTTGAAACGAATACAGTAAAATTATTGTTTGGATCCCTTCCAATGGTTCCTGCTTTGGGGGTGAGTTTCCACCCCAATCTTCATCATGTTGAAACTGTTCTCATTCATTTCTGCAATGCAAGTGTTTGAACTATTTTTGACATTGTTGTACAACTTTTCTGGGCTGCCTTTTTTCATCCTAGTGAATATTTTTTAAAATAACTTTTTTTGACAATTTATCCAACTGATGTCTATGACATCAACTGGATAAAGATCAAGGCTTGTTATAAATCAGAAATGAAGCATTCCAAATTTTGTATTCAAAACTTACATTTTAGCATTACTTTCTTTGAAACCCCCAGTAAGCTTGGCCAATAATTGCAGAATTCACTTTTATTAAAAATGGTTAAAGTGGGGATTTTATGTATCTAACCCATATTAGCATTTTTTCTTTAATCCAACGGCTTGAAATCACATTCCGTATTCCACAAAGGATCTACTTGTCTTGTAGAGTAGGCAAATTTTGGCTCCTCTTGGGTCTTTCTGGGCTTTGTTGATGCATATCATGAACATTTATTCGGAGGAGATATGACAAGGCAAGTGACAAAACTTGACTTGAAGTTCCCGATACAAAGCCAGGAGCTTGGAAGCAAAAGGACAGTAGTCTCTACTAAGAATCTCTTCTATGTGTCTACAGACACTTCAACAAACAAGGGAGGAGAAGGAGGAGGAAGTGGAGGGCTGGGAGGAAGAAAACTAAGGCCCTGCCAGAGAGAGAAAACACTAGACTGACTAAAAGCCAACCTTGAGACAAGAGGGATTTTTATATTCTGAGGATGTTGTCAGACAATTTTGTGAGGAGAGTTGCCCAAAACGTCAAGATGAGAGTTTTGATTGTGCTGGCACTTTGACTCTTAGACCATACTGATGAAGTCAAGCCTACTATACTTGATACTTAAAAATAAGTGAATTTACGTTAGATTTCTTATAAATTAATTTACATTTTACTTCTTTATATTCGGGCCCTCATTAGTCTACATATATACATACCCACACATAGTCAGAACATTTGTTATAAATTATTTTGTTTTTACTAAAAAGAGCAATCCTGTCACAAAATACTCTGAAAGCAGAAATGGTCTGTTGCAAATGAAGGTGCTGGTTCTGATCCATCACTGCTGGACTGTTGAGCACAACGTCATGACTTTGGAAGTGCTTATGAGGGACTGCTGACCTCCTCTTAGTTCTAACTGTTTTTATGTAGATCACATTGTATGTTCAACTACTAGCCATCCCCAACCTACAGCTGAAACCCAACCTAATTATGTTAGCGGGTACACAAGGAGGGCAAAGCTATTAAAGAAAGTTTTTTTTCAGTGAGATGCTATATTTCAATCTTAATGTAGGAAATTCATTACGGAAAGGGTCTCTGACAACTACAGCTCCATTACCAGCCACACATGGTGCCGCTCACACATTCAAACGCTTTACCATCACAACCGAATTGGTCAGCACAACTCCAAAGGCAACCACCACTTCAGCCACCATTGCACCGATGACCTTCACCAAAGTGACAACTGTTACAGTGGCAAAGCCTCTCGTTGCAGTGCACAAGGTCAGGGATCTGGGTGAGTGAATGAAGAGGAGCTTCACGAACTAGCTGTTTAATAACCCAATTCGATAGGGCAATGGAACAAATTTGCTAGATCAACCTTCTCACCACCATTCTCATCTCATCTCATCATCTCATTTGTACAAATGTAAAGCATTTACAATCTTCTGATGATTCCACAGAAGATTGTTCAGAATAATGCAAGTCTGATGGTACTGTACCTCCTCCTCCTTCTTATAGTTCTTATAGTGGAGAAATGTCTGAGTCTCTTCCAAATGTTACCTCACTGTGGATTTAAAAAATGTTTCAGCCCTACACAGTTCTTTTTATTCAGAAATATTCATAGGCATGTTTCAGGCCTCCATACAGAGACTGTGAAGGCCATTCCAAAACTTTAATCCTTCTTTTATACATGTACTTCATGGTTAATATAACAACTTCTTTTCAGTCCCATTGTTACTCGTCTTCTAAATTTTGGGACACACTGAAATATACTATTTGATCAGAGGACTTAAACTTTTTAGATACAATTGTTCTTCTAGTTCTTGATTAGGATGCTTAATATGCTTCATCTTTTTTTAGATTTAGTTTCAGCTCCTTCATTCATATCCAGTGCTTCTCTGCACTCTGCCCAAAAATCCTTTCAAAATCTAGGCTCTACGTATTCTATCTGAATGTGTATAGTTTGAATCTAGTCCTGGTTTATTACATGTAGTCATAACCCAAGTCCAGACAAAACAAGATATAAAGCAATCAAGTTCATTTTCATAGAACTGATAACACTTTTTTCTTTTTAAACTCTGTTTTAATTTATTTTTTTTAATTCCATTGATTCTAGTGAAATAATATTAATGAGAAGTACAGTGTAGCCTTTCTTCTGGCACAAATATAGTAGTCCTCAACTTACGAAAGTTCATTTAGTGGCCATCAAAGTTACAAAGGCACTGAAAAAAGTGATTTACAAACATTTTTCACACTTATAGTGTTGCAGTATCCTCATAGTTACATAGTTACATCAAAATTCAGACAGTCAGCAACTGACTCATATTTATTATGGTTGCAGTACCCCAGGGTCATGTGATCATCTTTTGTGATCTTCTGACAAGCAAAGTCAATGGAGAAGCCCGTTTCACTTAGCAACCATGTTACTAACTTAATAACTGCATGGATTCACTTAACAACTGTGGTAAGAAAGGTAGTAAAAATCACTTCACAATTGTCTTGCTTAGCAACATAAATTTTGGGCACAATTGTGATTGTAAGTTGAGGACTACCTATACAGCAACTGAGACTTTCATGAATGTGGTGGTAGGTCTTCCAGAGGCAGTCTTTTAGACTTTTTCACAAATCTTTCTCTACTAGCAAATCTTTCCACAGCCTCTTTTCCACTTTAGAATATTAACCTTATAAAATAGTCCTTTTAATTTTTCATAAACATGACTTAACAATTTTTCCTAAGAATTGGCAATGTGTGGCTTTTCAGATATTATTAAGATTTTAATCATCATGACGGTAATCCTTTAACATCTAGACAGTCATATGTTGCCCACCTATTTTAAAAGTTTTTGAAAGAGAGGCTAACATTCTTAATGATTTGTTTATATGCATTCAAGAGAGAGAGAGAGAGAGAGAGAGAGAGAGAGAGAGAGAGAGAGAGAGTTGGTTTCACAAAGTAAAATGCAACATGTACTTTTGCTCTCAGTTTTTTACCTTATGAATATTTGGAAAAATATTTTTTTTCCAAAGCCAAGCCATAACATTCTGAGGTAGGACATCTAACTCTCCCTCCCTCTGAAAACAGGACTGGAAAAACTTCTAGCTTCCTGTGAGAGTAGGTCACTCTTTTCCCAGCTGTGACCTTGCCCTGTGCTGGAGAACAGGCGGACTCTGCCCACCACCTGCGACCAGGACTTCTTCAGTCTCAACCTTCCATTTCATCTTTCCAGACTACTTCCCTTCTTCTTGCCATCTCTCTTAGTTTTCATTTGGAATTTCACATGGATGCCATTGGCTCACTCCCAAACAATGAGCTATCCATGGACTCATCAGAAGAGGGGACCTCCCTTAGCAACACAATGTTTTATTTCACTTCACCATTTCTTTCCCTGTAGGTATCAACCATCCCTTCTGTATTGTTGTTAAGAAAAATGCATGATTGTGTTCATGAAGTCACCAAGAAGTGAAAGTCAAGTGAAAGTCAAAACTAAAACATCTAGGCTGATATTTATGCTTTGCCTATTTTCTCCTCCTGCCCCCATCAACTTGTTTCATACACTACTGCTCTTGTGCTTTTGTTCTCAGTAGTAAGATACTTTCTTGTTCATTCTTAGGCTCTAGCAATGTCCATCCAGTTTATTCAGCGGTGGCAGCAGCCGCAGCATCAAGTAAGTACAAGGACAAGGGAATGGCTTTACTGAAACCACAGCCCTTTCAGGTGCACCTGAAAGCAAATATCAATAAAACTGTTTTAAATTGATTTCATTCAGTAGAGAAGAAAGTACTGAAATTTCAATTATATCAATAATATAGCAATAGCACTTAGACTTATATATCGCTTCATAGTGCTTTACAGCCCTCTCAAAGCAGCTTACAGAGTCAGCTTATTGCCCCCAACAATCTGGGTCCTCATTTTACCGACCTCGGAAGAATGGAAGGATGAGTCAACCTTGAACCAGTCAGGCATTCTAACCACTGCGCCACCACAGCTCTAGTTTAAAGGATTAATACAAGCATTTTCAACTCTCAAAGTGGTAAAAAAAAATCTTTTTACAAAGTTTGGGAAACTTCAAATAAAGTATTCTATTTGAATTCCTATTTTAGGACAAGTTCAAACTGTACAAGGAAGAACTCAAAATCAAGGTATGTCCTAATTCAGTGGACTTTCTAATTAAGACAATGTTAAGGTGTATTAATTAGCTAATCAGTAAAACATTTTAAGGATGGGGCTAGTAATCCTAAGATAGATAAAGCTTTTACTATTTTAAAATTTTTCTTAGAAAGAATTCATATTCCTAAAAGTAAAACTATCTCAATATACTTGCTTTTGAATAAGTTCCTTGTTAATACTTCCTAGTAAATTTTCAAAATTATTTAATATGATTGAGCCAAATTTAAATAGCTTTATCTTAGTTGCTTTTTGTTAATTCAGAGGTAATTTTATAGCTTTCCTCTAAGTATCCACTGAAGTAATAATTGAAAATTTTACACCAATTAAATCTTAATTTGGTTTGAAGGGGAACCTATAATCAATTATGTCAACAAAGACAGAACCACACAATTTAGCAAACAAGCACTGAAAATAAATGAGGCATCCCTCTGTTTCTATTTACAGCTTTCCTACCCATTTTAATGTACTGCTTCAAATTTTTCAAAGTTATTAGGGCAAGTATCTTCGTATTAAAATTTAATACTTTCAAAAGAGAAGAAGATCCTCTACTACAGGAAAGCCACAAACTGTCTTTCCAAGTTCATGTTATAACTCCAAGGATTTTTGGGACAGCCAGAAATTACTCTCAAAATAAACTTAAGGCAGGCTTTATTTTACATGCTCTGTTATTTACATAATTTCAACAAAGTTGGTCTCATGTATTTCTTAAGATGTGTTATTTTTCCCATGAGCCTAAGATTAAATTGTGAGTTTGAATAATAATTATAATTTGTCTTTTGTCTATAACAGCTACTGAAACAGATGTATGGAAGTTTGGATCAAGCCTTTTGGACTCGGGTAAAAATTTTCTCACAAAGTCTATTAAACAGCAACAATGTACAATAAGTGTGTATATATCATGTGTTCAGGAAAACCAAGCATTTGTTTTTTGTTATGGTGAAGTTCCTTACATAGGATGATTTCATAAAATTCTTTTGAGTCTTGTGTCTCACTCTATTTCATAATATATATATATATGCAAATTAAGGCATATAAGCAAATATGTCAGATAATGTGAAATAGTAAATTGAAGTGCTTTGAATTAGATTTATACTGCACACTCTTATCAGCTGATCAACTTTCATTTATGGATCCCCACTGAAAAACTACTTTCAGGGTTCATTTGGCACACAGGCTGAATTCACCCAATACACTCAGAGTGAAATGTGATGGTTCTAACTTTTCTTCTTTCATAGATAGTTTCACATTACAAATTTATCGCCTGATGTTGGAAACATACAAAGACAGTGCAAACAAATGAAAGTCTTGAATTTGTGTATGTGTTTGTGTGTTTGGTTGTTGGTGGTTTTGTTTGTTTTGGCCAAAGCATCCATTGATGTTCAGATCATTTTAAAAAGATTGTCAGTATTAGGAAATAAACTGTATATGCCGACAGATAGCTCGTGATGGATAGAAAGCGACACATTGCAAAAGAATTTCCATGTTAGATAGAGGGAGCTACCACGACGCAGGATTTCCAAGAGACCAGAATGTGATACAAAGTTGGCCCAGTGATTGTTTGATGCAAGCCAATTATCATTTCAAAGAGAATTATTTTTAGTTGGTATGAGACAACTGTTATCTGAATAGAGATTTAATGAGCCTGGACAGCTGTGACGATCTAGTGCTGAAAAAGCTTAATTAGCTTGCCACAAAGTCCCACGTCAATGAGCTGAGATTCTCAGGATTCGACAATGCCATTTTAAAGCAAGCCTGGGAACTTGCAGGCCTCCCTGGAAACAGCAACTTTTTCAATCAGCTCTGAGAAATGCACGTTGGGTGGCCTTCCTGCTCTGAGCGTTGCTCAGCACTTAGGGGGCGACTTTCCAGGCAACATTGGAAGCCCTGTCTGCGATTTGGTGAAGATGATAGAACTCCCTGAGGTGGCCAAATTGACCTTTCGATTAGACAAAAGACAATACAGTATCTGTGTTTAGTGCTGACTTGTGGAGGTTTTTTTTTTTTTTTAATAAAAAAGGGAAAAAATGAACTAATGATTTCGACAGTTAGACAGGGTAGATTATAGAAAGAAGAAACTCACGTTGCGGCTTTAAAGAAAGAGGTAGATTTGTTATTTTAGTCATAGCTGCTCTAAAGAAGATAAGAAGTCATTCCTTTGTATCTTTTTTCTTTCTTTTCTATTTTTCTTCTACCTTTTTCTTTCCTTTTCTTGTACTTTAGCTTTCTCCTTTATTTCCTTCTCCCCCCCCCCGCCTTCTTATTCTATTTTATTTTGAATGAATTTTTGCTCTTGCTTTTAAAACTTTCCAAAAAATTACATTTTAGAAAAGAAAGCTGGGTCTATGATAACACAAGCGGAATTTTAACACGGTGAAAATAATGTTTAAAAAGACTCAACTCTCCATTAGAACTGCATAAGTAACTTGTGAATACAAGATATTCTGTGTTATCTGGGATTCAAAAAAGAATTGTGCTTTCCAATTTGCAGTGGCAAAGTGTGTCCCTCCCTCCTTCTTGATGGTCTTTTAAGCTCTTGGGACCTTCAGGCTTTTAGGCATACACTCAGCACTTTAAAAGGGATCCAAGAGCTTGCAAACAGGCCAGCAAGCAATGCAGCATTTAAGGAATTAAATTGGTGGTGGTGTTCTGTGTCCAGCTGGGTTGCTAGTGTGTCTCCAGGGATAGCCTCATTCAGCAGGTGAAGAATGTAGAATTCCTCATTTGGCCCTGCACATGCATTCAGAAGCAGTGTAGTTAGGACACATCTGAAGTCACTGAAATCTGAGCTTAAATTTCTAACATTTCACTTATATGGAAAAATGTAATGTGAGTAGTCCACGACATGTGATTTTTTTTTGTTTAACAACAGTTTGAAGTTACAACACCCTCAGAAAAGTGACTTATAACCTGTCCTCAAAGTTATAACCATTGCCTCATTCCCCATGGTCATGTGATTGCATTTTACGATGGTTGCAGTGTCTTTATGGTCATGTGATCCTGATTTGCAACCTGCCCAGCTGGCTTCCAACAAACAAAGGGAATGGGGGAAGCTGGTCTCCCTTAACAACCGCATGACTCCCTTAAGAACTACAGATACTCACTTAGCAACTGTGGTAAAATGGTTGTAAAATTGGGTCCAATCATGTGACAATTCACTTAACAACCACATTGCTTAGCAACTGAAAGTCTGATCCCAATTGTGATTGTAAGGCAAGGACTACTTGCACAGATAACTTTTTGTCTCTATTGTGTGGAGACCCAGTTTCTTTGAAAGTGAGTGTTCAGATTGAATATAAAATAGGTTGAAAACACTGGACTGTACAGTTTTCTGAGCTCCCCAAGGCAGTTGTACCAGTGCACAACTGGACCTATGCTTTACTATCCAATTCTTCCATCTTATCTGGACCCTGTTAGAAGTTCATTCTTCTCTAAAACATTTTCTCTTTCTATGCTAAATCAAGCATCTGAACTCATCTCACAATTTCTTTGTTCAACGTTCAATTAGCAGATTGTATTTGATGTGAATGTCTCCTCTTTCCTGACCTTCAAATTTAATAATGATATATAACATTGATCATTCTAGGTTTCAGCTCCAAGGAAGACATAGTCCCAAAGCCTTTGAAGCCAGTTTCCCAGGGAAATCCAAGTATGTGAATCACAAATGTATTTAGGTCCTTTCATAATCATCTGTTTTTAGCGGACAAAGAGAAGAACATTTTACTGACTTGGCATTTCATGAATGAAATCTGTTCCTTGGGTGGGGGGGAAGGGCAATGGTGTCAAAGAGAAATCTAGCAGAACTACTAGTGGGGACAAATTAATTTCCATTCAGGTTTATTCAAATGTTGATCATTTATAAATAAATGCAGATTTTTTTTCACTAGCTTGCAGCGATAACAACAAATGATAAAGGTACTATCTATTAATAATTAATTTGGTAACTGTAAAAAAAAAAGAGAGAGAGAGAAGGAATGACTTTTTATCCAGAGTTATATTATGCAATACAATAAGATGAGTATAAATACATGTATTTAAGATATTTATTTATTTATTGTTCAGTCGTGACTCCATGGACAAGGCCCCCCCGTGTCCTCCACTGTCTCCCAGAGTTTGCCCAATTCATGTTCATTGCATCGATGACATTATCTGACCATCTCATCCTCTGCCAACCTCTTCTGCTTTTGCCTTCAATCTTCCCCAACATCAGGGTCTTTTCCAATGAGTCTTCTCTTCTCCTATTTCATATTCTTAACTTCCCATCTTTCTCAGAAAATGGCTTTGGGTGATGCACACAGCAATAAAACTGTTTTACATAGTTAAGCTATTTCTGGACCCAACTTCAGTTTGTTTGTGGGTGAACTGAATGGCATGGGCAAGTAACCTCCAGAAGAAGAAAGTAAGAAAAAAAATCATAGCATTCTTCCTATTATGATAAACTAGTAGGTGTAAGTAACACATAGATAGTTTAAAATCTCACCGCCACAGCTCTATGGGGCTGGATGCAAAGTAATTGTTCAATGACTAGGAAAACTTACTTTGTAGAAAGGGCTTAATCCAACAAAAGCAATATTGATCAGTTTCTCCTTTCCCCTGCAATCCATGTTGTGTGAAAACTCAGAAGAATCTTCAGAGTCCATATGAGACCACAGGAATGAAGAATTCAGCTTCTCCTTTTTTCCCCTCTGAAAAAGAGTCACACCAATAGTTCTCTAAGTGACTTTGGATCCAACTCTTGTTTGTTTCTGAATAAGCATTAATTACTTAAATATCTGTGATTATCCCTAATGTGCTTAAAAGATCTAGAACTCATCTGAAGCTTTTGTTTGAAATTTGGATGTTGGTCACAAAAAAATCACCAGGATATTCCTGATTAGAAGAGAGGCCATAAAAAGTTTATTTGGATGGCTGTTTATTGCTTTAATGTGTCCTGTGAAATCAGGGATTCCAAGCACTGCTTTGGGCAATCTTGGTTACCATGAACCTTCTGTTTTCTGTGAACACTTGCAAACATGACTATAACTACAAACAATGATCAGCAGAGCATTTGAGAGATAAATGAGGTGTTATGATCTTAACGTAGAACATACAATACAAATGGTCCCAAACTCTTCTAATATATTTTTAATGTATCTAATATAATTTATTTTCCTAGATTGCAAAGTTGACTTAGCCTTCTTGATAGATGGGAGCTGGAGCATTGGCAGGCGCCGTTTTCAGATCCAGAAACAGTTCCTCAAAGATGTATCTCAAGCTTTGGATGTTGGCCCAATAGGGCCTCTCATGGGCATTGTTCAATATGGGTAATAGTGCATTGTCTTTATAAAAACTATGTATTTAAGAAGAAAATTAGATTTTAGAATGTGTATCATACACACACACACAATCATACACAAACAAACTTACACATACACACAAGCGCCTACAGAAATAAATATCAATAAAATCCAAAGATACGTTAACTCCCTTTCTAAGTCCTATTTCATGAATTCTTATGGACTTAGGAGAGTATCTGATTTTAGATTGGCTAACACAAAATAATAGAGCATTGGTCAAGAATGGGGTGAGATGGACATTCATTTCTTCCATTGTGTATTAAATATTTTATTCTAAAAGTAGATGTAGTTTTCAGGAAGGCAAAAGCAAAAAAAAAGTGTCATAAATTAATATTCTGCCTCTGGAAGTAACCAAATATATCCAAGAGTTCCAGTAGAATTGCATAAAAGATATAGCAGAAAGGGCAACTTATACACACTCAGTATTTTTTTCTTCAAATGTTGCTGATTTGGGATAGCTTATTTTTAATTTATTCATATTATATTTAATTTTATTTATATTATGAGTGTATTGGAAAAATACATATGCATCATGTGGTGTGTATGTGTCTGCATGGATACAAGCCAATTTCAAAACAGCTGGGATATCAGAATATATAAAAAAAATAAATATAAAATTAAACGGGTCAGTCCCCATTTCTATCTAAAATACGTTTCAAATATATAAGGGTTCTAAGCAATGGGGAAGAGAAGGAAGAGAAACAAGTCTGTGCACTCAGAGAGAGTTCCATGACAAATGGCGCATGAGAAATATGGGTCATGCCTTGTTTTTAGAGTGTGTTTGTCTCAGGTGATAAGGGGTTCAGAAAGTTTAATTAGGTGCCTTGAGGAAGGACCATCTCAAGTTCCAACATGAAAAAAACCAACAACAATAGCCTGTTAATAAACTTATGTAAAATTAAGTAGGTACGCTTTTATTAAACCAAAGAGTTGATCTCCAGTGATTTGAAAGGATGAATAAGATGGAATTGGCAGATGGAAGCAAACAGTAAATTAATAATTCAGTATGAATTATTAAACAATTTGAACAATTTATTATTAGCAATTTACCATTGCTATTAATTATTACTATTAATAATTCATAGCAAATTATTAATAATAATAATAATAGTAAAGAGTAAATTGTTTTTAATTGTTAATTATTACACAGAAAGTTCTATTTTCTGCTGTTAAAAAAATCATCTCTGCAAATTACTCATACCCATGAAAATTTAATTGTTTAACTGGGAAAAGTAAAAACATAAAATTTCAGGAACTATTTGTGCATATAATTCTTTGCTTGGAAAAAAAAATTACCTGAAAATTGACCTTATTTACTTTCAGTAATGGGCTGCTGTCAATGCTGGGTTTTACATGACTTTTTTTGTCTTTGTTTTACAAACAGTGATGACCCTTCTACTGAATTTAACCTGAAGGCCTATGCAAATACCAAGGACTTAAAAAATGCCATTGAGAAAATATCCCAAAAAGGAGGCTTATCCAATGTTGGTAGGTAGCAGATATGATACACCAAATCTGCTCAAGAATCAGATGCTAAGATTTGAGGTTATTGTTTCACCTTCTGGAGAGATTCATAGCTGAAGATCATCACCTGCTTCATTTATTCTAGACTGTCTTTTCCAATTTTGGGGGAGGAAAGAGGTTCCCCAAAACAACAGTGTTGAATTCTGGAAGAAGGAGTCAATGTAAAGATACATTCTATTCCACTCTATGAGGAAACTCATCGTGTTTTGGCATCACAATTTATTGGCCTCGGATTTCAAACAATAAGATGTTAGAACTGTACTGTGTTCCAGTGTCTAAAATTCATCATGCAGATATTGTGGAGCCTTTCATCTTGCCACAAATCCAAGTCATTTCTGTAGAATCAGAGTGGATTAAGCTTATTAGATATGTATGCGAAGTTGATATACATCCTCAGTCTTAGACACATTTGGTTGAGAAAATTATTCGCATGATATGTTTTTAATGGATATGAATATTTCCATCACAATGTGGACAGAAGGTTAATTTCATTGTTGTTTCAGGATGAATACTATTTCTATTCCCATTTCAACTGGAGCATGTATTCAGTGCAGATCATTGCTTTATGTCTTATTAATCCTGACAATAAGAAGCTTCCTACTGATCTGCTGCATCTTGACACTAGCTTTAAGGCTGTGCTTTGGTTGGGTTTTGCTTCTGTCCTCTGTTTTATCATTTTTAATCTTAATAACATGCAATACAATGTCAAATAAATAAATGGGAACTAGCTCTTTAAAGATTTATTAAACAAAGGAACAACTCTTTCCCCTCTGCCATCCTCTCGCCTAGGAAAAGCTTTGTCCTTTGTTAACAAAAACTACTTTGAAGATGCCAACGGCAACCGAGGAGGTGCCCCCAATGTGGCTGTAGTGTTGGTGGATGGCTGGCCCACCGATAAGGTAGAAGAAGCCTCCAGGCTGGCACGGGAGTCTGGCATTAACATTTTCTTTGTCACCATTGAAGGACCCGATGAAAATGAAAAGAAGAATGTGGTTGAGACAAACTTTGTGGACAAGGTAAGAGAGAAGGAAACACTCAGGAAAGTGGCAGATTTTGGAGTGTGCACATATTATTGTGGGAAGGTCTGGTCACTTTGCCACATGTGGCATAATCAGACAAAGTCTATAGTTGTTTGGCCAAAATAGCTACTTCACAGTCCTGGGACTTAGTTCTGCCAAGCATTGTGATTACGTAATGCACATTAAGATACCATACTTTTTTTAAAATTTAAAAACCAAGCCAATGAAAACTGTTCTTGAATAGTGGATACAGATAGTCCTCAGCTTACAATTGCAGCTGGGCTCAACGCTTCCATTGCTAAGGAAGACAGCTGTTAAGTGAATTTTGCCCCATTTTAGACCCTTTAACAACCTGTCAGAGCTGTTAAATGAATCACTGCAGGTGTAAAGTTAGTAACAGGGTTGTTAAGTGAATCTGGCTTCCCCATTGCCTTTGCTCTGCAGAAGGTTACAAAAAGTGATCACATGACCCTGGGACACTGCAACCATCATAAATACTTGCCAGCTGCCAAGCATCCAAATTTTAATCATGTGACCAGGGAATGCTGCAACGGTTATAAGTGTGACAAATGGTCATAAGTCACTTTTTTCTGTGCCGTTGTAACAGTCACTAATGAATGGTCGTAAGTAGAGGACTATCTGTGTTTAAAAGAAAATTGATTAAAAAGAGGACAATTCTGGACAACCCAATATTATGAAGTTAAGGGGCTTTTATCTTTTGTCTCTGCAACAGTTCTAACTGGATTCACTAGCCCCATACTGCATATACCTATTATCAGGGCTTTTTTCTCATAGAATGCCCAGAACGGAGTTCCGGCACCTTTTTTAGATGGAACCTTGTAAGGTAGGCAAGACGGGTTGTATGACGTGTGTGAGTTCTGGCATCTTTTTTTTTTTTTTTTTACAAAAAAGCACTGCCTATTATTCACAACAAAGGAAAGTTTCCATTGGAATCAGAATATTTTTTCCCTCTTATTGCAAAACAAAACAAAACTAGATATGGTGAAATTCTAGTATCATGCCCATTTTGACTGCTAACTTTGCTATAACAAAATGAAAAACAGTCCAGAGAGCTGTTGTACAATTCCAGCAGCAACACACATTGCAATTGAAACTCTGGAGTTTAAGATTTTGCTTTGTGGACACTCTATGCCATTGCCTTCAGGTGGATTTATTTAGGAATTTATTGCAATACACATGAAAGTTCTGGATGTACCTTGGTTAGAACTTGTTCTCATAAGCTCTAGAGTTTAGACTGGATGCATTTTACAGAATGTCTTTTCAATTAAGCAGTATTCTTATGAGTTGGAATTCTTCCTAAAGGCTTGGCAAAGGAAGTCTCCTTCAGAAAGCAAAGCTGACTTTGGGAAATGCAAAAATAACATTTTCTTTCCTGGATGCTCCTTCTGATCATTTTGTGCACTTTCCCTCATAGGTTTGCCATGAAATACATTTATTCTGAACTCTGAAGTCCTTCACATATTAAAGCTGGACAGGCTTCAGCCTACTGACTAATTTTTATTTTATTTAAGTTTGCTAGGACAGAGCTACAATGAGCCCCTTTGAGACACGAAAGAAGCACAGATTTGTATGCACCAATTTATGGTAGCTGCATCCTACAAAATAAAGAACTGCATGAATCTGTAATCCAGTCATATGATAGAACAAAGTTTGTTTGTTTGTTTGTTTGTTTAATCTATTTATAAGTCACCCATCTCAAGGAGTGACAAAATTCTGATTTTGCAGCACTAAAACTGGTCTTGTATAAAAAAAAAATCAAAGACCTTCAGATGTATTGGACTTCAACCCTCAAAATTTCCCACCCTTTGTGTACACTGGCCATACTGGCTGGAAACTGTGTGAAAGAATTGCAATAGAGTTCAAGACAGTAGCAACAGCAATAATGCTTAGACTTACATACCACTCTGTAGTACTTTACAGCACTTATATACCACTCCATAGTATTTTACTACACTCACTGAGAGGTTTACAAATGTAGGATATTGCCCCATCAGTCTGGGTCCTCTTGCTTGCAGAAAACTGTTTTAAAAGTGTGATGCTAAGCTTTCAGATCTTAAAACACTGATGGAGACCAGCTACACATAGGAGTAACTCCAGATCAGTAATATTACAAGATTAAACCTATATATCTAGAAATGTATACATTTATTTTCTGGCAATTAAACAGAAAGAAACCAGGGTGTCTTGTACAGTAATTTTTGAAACTCTCATTTCTATCATTTAGGCTGTATGCAGGACCAATGGATACTATTCTATTCATGTCACCAGTTGGTTTACCTTGTACAAAGTTGTGCAGCCTTTAGTGAAACGAGTCTGTGATGTTGACCGTCTGGCTTGCAGCAAAACCTGCCTAAATGCAGCTGACATTGGGTTTGTCATTGATGGATCTAGCAGCGTTGGCACGGGTAACTTCCGCACCATTCTGCAATTTGTAGCCAATATTAGCAAAGAGTTTGAGATTTCTGATACAGATACCCGGATTGGAGCTGTGCAGTACACTTATGAACAAAGGCTGGAGTTTGACTTTAACAAGCACAACACTAAGCAGGAGGTGCTGAATGCTATCAAAAGAATCAACTATTGGAGTGGAGGAACCAGCACTGGAGCGGCCATTAACTTCGCCTTTGAGCAGCTCTTCAGCAAATCCAAACCCAACAAGCGGAAAATCATGATTTTAATTACAGATGGCAGATCGTACGATGATGTCAGGGGACCAGCTTTAGCAGCACACCAAAATGGTAATCCCCCGTTGTTATATTTTCATTTCAAAACAAAAATGGTTTAGCCAGATCTAGCTATGGGCAGGGCTGTTGATCTGAAGAGGGCGTTTAAATTAGGTGATCCAGAAGTCCAAGTTAAGATTAAACTTACTATTCCCAATTCCCCACAACTCATAATTGACAGACCACTCTTGGATTGTATTAGGACCAAATTTATTTGAGTTAGTGGACTTGCTGAAAGGCATGGCTGGCCTGGATATTGTCATCTCCTTAAAGAAACTGCTGACATAGTAACTGGGCAATCATAGGGGGAAAAAAACATTTAAATGAAGGAAGTGTCCAAGAAAAGACACCACTTCTTTTAGAAAGTGCTGAACTGGGAGCAGATCAATTCTAGATCGAAAGCACAACACAATTTACTAAGCATAAGTTACAGTGGGTGGGAAATTGCTCTTCTGTTACACCACATTCAAGTTTCTTTATTCTCCCTTTTGTGCTTTCACTGTTTTTTCAGTTAACGGGAAATTCAGCATGGGGTCCTGTCTACTTGAAAACCTTTAAAAAATAATAATACCACAATTGTAAAATAATGGGGACTTTCATTACTCCTTTTGAACAGGCATAGGTCTTTTCTTTTTTCATATTCTATCTGGACTATTATGAAGATGAATATGAATTTAGCATCTATTAAAAATGGCATTGATCCATTATAGTCTATTTTTCCCTCTGCAGGTGTAATAGCCTACTCAATAGGAATCGCATGGGCTGCCCAAGATGAACTGGAAGCTGTGGCAACTGACCCTGATAAGGAACATTCATTCTTTGTGGATGAATTTGATAGACTCTATAGATTTGTTCCTAAGATCATTCAGAACATTTGTACAGAGTTCAATTCACAGCCACGGAACTGATTGCATCCAACTACAAGGGTTGCATCACTGAAATTGCATCTGATTAATCAGACAATGCTAGATGAGAAGTTTTTACCTAAAGGATAATTTCAGATCTGCTCTCCAGGCATAAACATAATAGAAGCTGTAGAGTAATACTTCCCCTCCCCCCCCAAACCTCTCCTTAGTGGTTTCCAACCTGATCTGATAACAACTTGGCCAATAGCCTTTGACTTATTTAAAATTATCATTTGGAGTCAACGAATTTAACTTCTCCATATAAGAGGCAGGGGATATTTCTGAGGACTTCACAGCCATCTATATGTTAATGATAGCATTTCTTTGTCAGGGTGGTGGTGACGGCAAAAAAACAGGCTGACTTATCACAATCGATCAATCAATCAATCAATCAAAACAGAGCTGGAAGGGACCTTGGAGTTCTTCTAGTCCAATTGTCTTCCGTTAGGAAGTTTTGCTTTAGTTCTAATTTGCTTCTCACATTGATTAGTTTCCATCCATTAGTTTCAAATATTATAAAACAGTTTGGACCCTAACCTTTAATTACAGATGTTGGCATTCATGTAATTGATAAGAAGCAAACAAGACACTAGTTAAATATAGGTAATGTGATTTAAAAAACATGTATCTATGGCCTGCTTACCACATACTGGAGGAATAGTTTTCAGCATATTGTATTTTGCCTTTACTTACATTTAATGTGCTTCAACTGTATATCAGTCTGTAACATGAGCCCAAACTTTGGGGCAGGCAGATAATAGATAGGTAGGTAGGTAGGTAGATAGACAGACAGACAGACAGACAAGTTCAGCATTGTTGTCCTTATTACATTCATGAAAATAGCATAGCCCAAATTTTCCACTCATTGTCATATAAGTAAGGAGAGTATCCTGCTGATTAATCTTGAAAACTGTTACAAACATGGTACATCCAATCAATAAGTCTCATTGGGAATAATTTTTCCTGTAAATATTAAAACCCTCAGTAAATGACTATTGGCATTTGAATTCTAAAACATAATAATATTTATAATAGCTTTTTGATCCTTAATAGACTAAATAGTAGTTGAGCCCTAATAGCGGTTTCCTGTTACTTAACTAAGGTTTTCATACAGAGACAGAAGTCTCTAAAAGTAGCTTGAAAGTGAAAATACTCTGTCGGGGGTGTCAGACTGCTGGCCCACAGGCCGGATGCTTCATGCTGAAACCGTGCCCACCCTAGCTCCAGCAATGGGGAAAAAGTTGCGATATGTCACATGTCATGTGACGTGGCAAGTTTGACATCCCTGCTCTACATATATATTTTGGCTGAACCATTCTAATCTACATGCTTCTTGACATTACAAACAATGAGATATCTAAAAGTAGACTGATTCTATTTCAGGAAAGACTCTATATACTTATATTCATATATTTTTTTCCAATTTACAAAAACAGACATTAATTGTAATTTTGTATTTCTTAGGGTGTTCTTTTTTAAAAGAAAACTGGGCACTTTCTAGATCCCCGTACAATTATTGTGCTACATTAGTTTTGGTGGAAAAGCCAACAATTTCACAATAAATATACAATGGAGGATTGCTTGAGCGCTTCTTAGTGTGTAATGATCAGTGGTTCTTATGTCAACTTACTTTACTTCATTTCTTCAAACTGTCTTCTGAAATGTTTTAGTCCACTACCTTTATTTTGCTTCCCTTAGTGAAGGCAAGGGCAAAGAGTACATTCAGCTGAGTATTGAAGAAACTTAGTACTTTTTGTGAAAGAAACATGAATTTGTGAATTTCAGTTCCATGCCTTCTCTCTATGCACATGTATATCCAAAAGACAGTAAAGCTCCATGTTCTGTCTTAAGTTGTGGCACTTATGAAAAAGCAAAAAAAAAAAAAAAAATAGTGTTTAATGTGTAAGAAACTTCAGGAGTATTACTCTTATACAGCATGAGATTATTTGTCCGTGGAGTTTTCAACATGGAAACCATGTTGAATTATGCATTGAGTTATGCATCCTCTACAAAGGAACATTTTAGTGGCTAATTCTTAAATGGATATCACTATTCTGATGAATTCTGAATAATCAGAATTCTGTTTCAGGCTAACAATCCAAATGTGGGATGAGACTAGTGATAAAACAAATCAATACTGCATTGTATGGCAACTACATATTCTCAAGAATGCTAGAATTCAATTGCAGCATATTTCTAGGGCTATCTTTTTAATTATAACGTGAAGATTAGAATATTTTAAACATATCTGAAGTGACTCTAAACAGTCATTATCAAATTACAGCATTTATAGGTCTACCACACAACAGATTAGAAGAAATGCTTCTACATCAAAGGGTTCATTTTAAAAGACTTCACCAATCAGAAGTCAGGACACCCGGCTATAAAAACAGGAGCCTAATCAGGCTCTGCTGAGTTGCCTGTGCCCTATGTAGCAGCCCAAAATGCATTTTAAAATTAACGCCAGCTATAGCTGCTAGTGAAAAGTCAGTAAATCTGTTGCAGTCACTAAACCCTGAAGCACATTGCCCAACCCATATTCAGCAATGAATATCTACACCAGTAGGTTATTGAACTGAATTGAGCTGAGCTGAATTAAACTTTATCTGGCCAAGTGTGATTTGACACACAAGGAATTTGTCTCTGTTACAGAAGCACTTGGTGTAAATGTGTATTGATCATCACATTGCTTTTCCTAGATATTATGTACTATGTATTCTTGAAATTATAGACTCCAGCTAACTTGGAGGTATGTCATTGCAGACAGAAACTTAGCATTTCCATATAGGAACTTAAGAGTTTTCATTAGTACACTGGACCAGCATGGCTGTGTACCTTTTCTCAACCTCAGCAATTTTAACATGTGTGGACTTCAACTCGCAGAATTGGCTGGGCTTCAAACAAATATCTATCTCCCCAGGCCTTGTTTTGCTTAACAAAGACCCTAAAACAATAAATTTGGGAGAACTCAACAACTTAATTCTTTCTAAGACTGACCCCTATTGAGGTCTGATTTTTATTCAATGGCAGCAGTCAAAGATTATAAGCATAACACACTGTATTTCTATGGGGCAAAAACCAGTTTATAAAGAAGTTTTTTATCTTTCTATTCTAAGCCTTATATTTTCAGTGGTTTCTCCAACTTGTAACATCCATACATTCTTGTACATGTACAAAATGCAAAGATACAAAGGTGTTGAAAAATAGTATTTATTAGCACCCAATTTACATAAATATTTATTACAAAGGACATTTATTTGTTGCTGCAATGTTTAGTAAAGCTGCTCTGTATAGTGTTACTACAGAAAGGTCCATTAGATTTTATTCAACAGAGAATGCAAGTACTATACAAAACAATCACACTTTATTAGCAACTACCCAGAGTTACTACCTTCATTACCACATCACTTTTACCTCATATTTAATTGCAATAACAGAAGATTACAAGAAAATTTTCTTGGCAAACAGATTTACTCAAGATGCTTCACAAACTTTGTGCCATTTGCTCTTTAAAAGTTTATTTTTAAGAATTTTTAAAAATACTAATTCTCAATTGGCATGCTCCACTTTTTGCATCTTTATCAGATTTTAACCAAATGGTAAACTATATTGAAAATTTTAAAGTGCATATTCATAACAATTATGAATAACTCCTGGACTAAAACTGACAGATATTGAGTAATATTCATTGAAGAATTATTTATTATAAATATCCCTAAAATCTAGCATCACCACCATTTTCTTTGTTGATGCAATATTTCCTAATATGATGAAACTGAAACCTAACTGATTTATTTTAATCAAAATGTAGGAAAACTGGTACTACAAAGCATTATTAAAACTACTTCCAGTATAATAAAAATATTGCAAATTCTATATATATTTCCCTGGGAGTGAGTCCTACTGATCATAGAGGACGTACTTCTAAATAAACATATACAGGAAAATAGGGGGAATTATAAAAACCATTTTTGATAAAGAAAAAAAAACCCACAACTTTATGTCAAATCAAAGAGTAGCTTGTTTCTTCTTTCTCTTGATCCAAGCCAATATTAAGGTTTGTATTTATGATAAATATAGTGATCACATGAACTATATAGTTCCTTGTACATATTTATTGAAGCAGTCTATGACGATTACTGTTATCATGCTAAATGCAGAAGGATTACTACTCTTTTTCAGGAATTTCATTTATATTTTGGAAAATGACTTCATTTCAGTTTAGTTGTAGTATAAAACACAAGAAACAAACCACAGTTTTCTGGTAAAGAATGAAAATCACTTCGAGTACTACCAAGACTATTACCAACTATCTCTAAGTAAGAGTTTTAAATCCAGAAACTCAAAGAATTCAAATTAATCATAACATTAAAAAATATTTTTCTAAATTCTCTGAAGTAAAATATGGCAAAAAGAACATAAGCTATTGCTATTCTGTTAATGCTTAATGAAGAGTAATGTACTAAAATATAACTTTAGATATGCACAAAAATTGTTCTGCACATGCAAAATCCAAATCTGTCCATTGTCCAGGAGGGCAGTTAGTGAAATGTCAAGTAATATGCTAGAAGAAATAAAATCTACCCACCCAACTACAACCAAGCTGCACTTTTGTACTTTCCAAGCACTTTAAACAATTGGTTTAATATAAAGAGCAATAGGATAAATATATACTGGTACCTGTAAATCACATGTATTACTATGAAACATGGTTATCATTGTGAGTTTTCAATTTGTTGATTTACAGTACAGAGTTTCAGTTAGCATGCAGTTAACGGTTTTGTTTTTCTTTTTCTTTTGGCTTTAAACAACAAATGGAGGCTTACATTTTCTCCCTCTGGTTTGAAAAGGAAAGATAACAAGAAGGGGAAAGAATGTGCTCTTAAAATAAATTATGGAGGGTCTAAGGGCAGCACTAGTTCACACATTTCTTCCTGTTCTTCATGAATCAATAGCTATAGCTTCAGATGATAAGCATATGCTTAGCATTTTCTCCCTGGTTAGCTGCATGGGCAAAACATTTAAATAATTAGACATGATTTCAACTACAGTATGTTAAGGGAAGGCAACTGATGTGATGAACTTAATTTGAATAGCATAAAGAAAAGATACACATTGAACATTAATCAAGCTGATCTAAAAATGGGTATGAATGCATAACAGAAATGCAATCCAAGATTGGAAGATAAATGAAACAGCTTATCAATTTAAAAGGGTCTTTTTCAACTGAAACAGAATATATCTGTATTTAGTACAATGAGGATTGTAATATGCAATTTGAAAGACAAACACAGAATCTGCAACAGAGACCGCAACCTCATTGTTGGCTCAATGGCACCTCAAACCTCTGGCTATTCGTCTGTTTTAAAAGTCACTTCTCTTGTATCAAAAATTCACCAAGCAGGATGGCACATCCTTCTATCAATATTTGAACAGGAACATTTGTTACATTCATAATTTAATCAAACATGCTGACCTATTAGTGATATGTACAGCAATTTAAACATCAGCAATTTTGTATTATGTTGCATTAAGCAAAAAGCACAATGCTATTTATTGTTTATCCTTTGCATTAAGTCTCAAGAACTTTCAGTACTAAAACATTGAAATTATCCATAGAATTTTCCCTTACTTATAATATATACTGTTTACAATCTCTGTCATATATTTATATATATATAAATATATATATATACACACATACACAAAATATACACAGCTTAACATTTGTAATATCCTTTTTTAAAAAAAGAATATCAAGCTAGTAAAGGGAAATACACAGAAGTCACACATAAATTAATGTGTTTTGTGCAGTTGGATTTTCTGCTTGGATACAAAATCACAAAAATAATGAATGTGTAACAGCTATTACTATTTAATCAGTTTTTGTAGGAGAGGAAACAACTATAAACAGGTTTGGTTCTTTTGTAGCAAACCTACAAAAAATAACCGTTAACGGTACCACAACATAATAGCCAAAGATGGCCAATCTTTTTAAGTTTCAAGTACTTTCAAAAACCAAATCCAGTCACATATTCCCAACACAAGACTGCTATATAAAACCATGACTATTGTGGGCAGAAGGGGAGATAATAATGGGTCTACCTTTGGATACTTGCAGTTTGCATTGGCATAAGCCCTCCCACAGTTATGGCACACATTGTGGAATCACTGGAAGGGGTCAGGGAACCATTGTTATTTCATACAGATTTTGTCCATGGTAAATAGAAGTCAATCACTTCACATATCCCAAACAGTACTGCTCTGTGTGGTTTATTAGGCTCTGATGCAGTACAGTTTATAAAGCAGGAAAAGAGCATATGTATGTTTTCCAAACCAATACGCACCCCAGTGAAATAATTTAGAAATTACATTTGTTGGGTAGTTGGAAAGATACGTAATATTCCTTAGCTCTACAATGAATAGTCATTAGCATCTGAAATTAATCAGATCCTTATTGTAAACATATGCCCGATCATCTCAGATGAAGTTATATTAAAGGCTATACTGTGGTTCCAGCCACCTGTTAACATTCATTTCCAACAACAGAATTTACATTTGTGAGCCTTTTACATATCTTCCTTTAACATAAATTTAGAAAATATGTTATCACATTCATATTTTAAATAGTCAATATTTTAAATCCAATATGTCTATTATAAGACTCTACAGGCTGAGATTCTGTGACTCATTTAACCATTCAGTGCTAGAAAAGGAGACAATGAATTAACCGTCTCAAGGATCTGAATTGCATGAATTTCTAATAGGGGGAACATTCTAAATTAAGGTTTGTTTGCTACCTTCACCAACTTGTTGTCCTTTAGAAGTGCTGGCTGGAAGCTCTTAAGAGTTGCAGCCTCAACACTTTTGCAGTACACCAGGTTGGAAGAAGCTTATCTGCTAATACCCAAGCAAGCTGTTAGCCTTTGTGTTGATTTCTGCATTGCATAAATTGAGACAGCATCTCATTTTGCCCAAGGCCAGCCTAGACAAAAAAGGACACTTTCAAAATTAAAATGGTTCTTCCATAGATCTCTTGAAATAGGGAGTTTCCTAGCTCTCACGACTGAGATCATATAATCTGAAGCAATTGCTAACATTCACGGAATTAACGGTTACAAGAAGGTTCTTGCTCTTCTCTTTTGTACAGCTTATTTTATAGATATAGACATATATATTTATAGATATGTACAAGGCAACTAGAAGGCTAGGGAAGTGTTGCATCATACAAAGACTTTGGCAAGTGCATCTGCTCCTGCACTGGCAATGTAACATTTGGTGGGATGGAATGCCACATCATGAATGGATTCATCGTGTTTTTTGCGATGAGCTGTAAATTCCTGAATGCAGGTTTTGCTTTCAAGGTTCCATAAGCGTATAGAACAATCGTGGCCTAAAGGAGAAAAATATTTTCTTAGTTTTGTGACCAATCCAACTGTGAGCAAGACATTTTTAAAAACATAAAATATACTTACTGCCGGACATCAGATACAAGCCATTCGGATCGACAGCTAAACTTGTGACTGCATCCAAGTGGGCTACCATAGAGTGGATCAGTTTCCCTTTGCAGTTAAATATACAAATATATTAGAACTTGTAATAAGTTTAAGATATTGCAGAAAGTTAGAAATGTAGAATGACATGTACTCATACTAAACATCTATACCAGCGGTTCTCAACCTGTGGGTTGGGACCTCATTTGGGGTCGAATGACCATTTCACGGGGGTCGCCAAACAACGCAGTCTGCCATTTTTTTTCCCCTTTTCCTTAGCTGTGCTACTCCCTTTTATTCTATTGGCTTTTAAAAGCCAATAAAATAGACTCTCTTGAATAGAGTCTAATTCTATTGGCTTTCAAAAGCCAATAGGAATTGTCCAGGCTGTCTCTGCCCTGCTGAGCCCGCCAAAAGTCCCATTCTGCTACGCTTCGGCTGGCGCAGGGGGCGGCACCACGCATGCGTGGCGCTCCCGGGCAGGGAAAGTCTTCGACTTACAACCGGTTGGGTAGTCCTCGACTTACGACCAGTTGGGTAGTCCTTGACGTACGACTGGTTGGGGGTTGCGGCATTAAAAAGGTTGAGAACCACTGATCTATACTGTACCATGTATTGGCACAAAGCAGAAAATCTGATTCTTAACGTACTCTAGTCTCTGCTAAATAATCATCTAATGATGTACTGTTCTTGTGTCACCTTCATTGTATAATACGCTTCTCAAAACTTATACTTGATCACAGTACACCACATCTTTATTAGCTTCCAAAGGAATAGATAAGCATCCCCTTTGCAACAAACCTGCACTTCCCAAAGATATGAGATGTATCTTTACAAAGCCTAAACTCTTACATAGCTTTGAAGGAAGAACCTGTAAACACATTTGCAATATGTTGCTATGTTGCTTGCACAAACTTTTAATCAGCTTCTTTGCCAAGCTAAACGGTCAATTCTTAAACTGAAATGTATTCATTAAAACTGAGTCCTGATTGCACTACACGTTTCTTCCTTTGGGCATATACATAACACTACAAGCATTTTAAGGGATATGATTTACAAATTTACTTCCATTACATTATGAGCAAAAACAGTCTAAAAATGTTTTCTGGTAGATTTTCACAAGTCTATACTAAGAACAAAAAACTTCCACAGATTTTAACAGCAATCTCATTTTGCGCTATGTAGAAAACACACATTAATATAAATTATTTCTCCAGGTCTCTTAAATAACTGTGAACAGATTATACCAATGACACATATCAGAGATTTCTACCATAAATACAATGTTTTACCAACTTAATTCTATATGCTGCATTGCTCAGCCAACAAGTCTTTATTCTTACAATTGTTTTTGTCTGTCAGAGGTTATAATTGGATACTGATCTTGAAATATTCACCACTTAATAAAGTTATTTTCAAATGGTAAGTGATCCCATAGTATTTTGGGGTTTTATGATATGTTACATAGAGAAACAGGCAACTTACCTGTGTTATTG